TTAAAGAGGTACTATGCTTTTGTGGTATATTTCCATTAGAATTCGTAAGACATGCTGATGTACTACACAAACTAAACATAACTATCTCAAAGTTAGTCATATAAAATAAAACTTAAAAATCAAGTTATGCTTTCCCTTCTTTTTCTAAAGATAAAGTTTTAATTTCCTGAAAGAAGGCTCAACGTGTCTCGAGAGAGAGTATTTTTATAACGATTTATCATTGTTATATTTCCTGTTGCCTCCTAAAGGGATTGTTTTGAAAACACCCAATTAATTATCTATGGGTTATGAATGGTTGTTTATTTATTTTGTTAACCAGTTTATCCAGTTTGTTGAAAACATTATCACATTAGAGTATAAAGTATGTGCAAATTATGTCAAAAATACATCATAGTAAAATACAATGCCTAATTAAATGGTTTTCAATTTTCAATTTGATTTATTTAATTAAAACTTATTATTCTAAAACAGTTCCCAATAGAATGTGTATGGAAATAAAGTGAGTTTTATCTGTGATTTTCCTTATATAAACAGTTTTAGTTTCTTCTTTAAACTTGGGTTTCAATAGCATTAACACAATATAAAGCATACTTGCAAGGGATACATTACGTGTTCATAGGAACTATAATCAGACATTTTAAAAACCATTATCTATTTATGCAGCAAATAACAACCGTGGCCAACAGTAAGCCGCCCACTTGTCAACCACATCCTTGAAAGAAAGGTCTTGAAGAGAAACCTCCCGGAATAATATTAGTTTATCAATAAACCCTTTCCTATGAGCACGAACTTTAATTGAAGTGTAGTATTTTATTTTATTTAAAATATTAAACACCCATGAGCCTTTTTATATTTGTAATTGTTTGTTTACTCTTTCTTGGTAAAACCTTTGGGTCTTATTACATATTGACTAAGATTACAATACGATAAAGTTATTAATTTTAATTATGCCACACAGTTTAATACAAATACACAAGATATTTTCATTGGAACAATAAGTACGATTGAGATTTGCCTGAATAATTTGCAGAGCAAGTGTGTGTAATTGGTTTTAAAAGTAAATTTGAAGAAACACATTTTCTCTTCTGTACTCAGTTGGTAGCCACGCTAGAAAAACTCGTGAGAATAATCGTACACGTATCAAATCATTCCCCTTGTAGTGGTTTGAAACTAATATTAACAATTCAATCGAAAACGTCTGAAGTAGGCCTACTATTATGTTATAAAAATTTAATTATATTTCAATAAAAAAATCAAATTAAAACTGTTAACTATAAAGATTATGAAGTAAAATGTTGAACAGATGTATAATGTATGTATTTTTTGAACAAAACCTGTTTACTTCGTCAGTAAGTTGCATGAAAAATGCAAGTTTAAAATGAAAAACGCCTTCATTTCTGAGAAGTCAATAGTGATACACAGTTGAGATTGCCTGCTAGAAAAATGTAGGCACTCAATATTTATTATCATGTTTTGTCCTAATACGCTAGGCACGAGCACGGGATCGTTTTTTACATTACTTTAGGCTAGACTTTGGGGTTAAGGCATTATCACTTGGATAAAATCCATTGGTGATTTGGCGGGATTTGAACCCAAGACCACAGGAACCGATGACCCGCACTCTGTTGACCCAATATACATTATTCAAAATATAGAGGCCGACATATAGTCTAGGAACAATTCATATTGCATTAGGTGGTAGTTAGATATTAAATATAGTACTTGTCAATTATTTAATATCCAAAGGATCTTACATTCAAGATTTAGACACGACGGAATTCAACATAAAATGTAACAGGATTCTATTAAAAATAAACAAACATTTATTTGGAGATATAGACTACATACTAAACAACAATTGAAAATCTAAATTTGATTTGTTTAATAAATTTTGTAAAAATAAGTGGAGGGAGAGTATTTACTTTTACTGATTACACATTGCTATTTGAACTAATACAAAAATAAATGTGGTACAACTTAATATCAGAAATGTCCCGTTATAGTTAACCTTAATTTTATAACATATTATATTTTATACTTTATATTATATTATATTTGTATATATAATATAATATCAAAATATAACATATATATAATAAGTACATCTTTCAGTAAAACTACTACACACAAAAATAAAGTGGAAAGTAAAAACAAGACCAAAATAAGGTAACATCACATTGCTATCCTAACCAAGGAAGCTCTCTCAGTCAAACTTTGAATTTGACATCCGTATCAAGACAGTATAGTAATGATTCTATTATATTTGATATAACATCAATGTAGAATGAAATATTAATTTCATGTTTCTAGAGTACAGTATAAATATTTTAGTTTTGGCTTCACTATTTTAAAAACCAATGTTAAATGTTATTAAAGTTGTTGTATATTTTAAATTCTGAATTTTTTAAAGAAAAATATGTCTAGTTACTTAGTAGTATGAGGTGTTTAACAAAATCTGAGGACTCTGGATGTCTTATTTATAGTCAATGCATTATATAAATTTATGTTTAACATTTACACTAATTGTGTATAATAAATTAATACAAACGGATGTATACAAATTTAATCAAACTGAACATAGAAACAATATGCTAAAAACACATAGTTTTAAAAGTTAAGAAAGTGAATTCTGTGTATAAATTAGGTCATGTTTTAACCCCAGCATTGCGTTTTGGACAAATATGTAATTACAAAAAGCAATCTTCTGAGAAGTGAGCGTCATAATTGGTAATCTCTGGGGACAAGATTTTCCCCAACAACACTTTTTGCTGATTGTTTTCTTCAGTTGAAACCTCTTACTCTAGATCTGGAGTATGTGATAAAATAAACAAAGAGCGTGTTTATTTGAATATTTACGTTTTCTAAGGTCTTGTTTCATGTGACTATGTTTTTTTTTACGACCGCACCAAAGCGAAAGTAATATAGGAGTTTTAAGTCTATAATCTCACACTGAGTACAATAATTGATAAGTTTTTCTTTTGACTAAAGTGAACATGTTTATGATAGTAAATAGCACGGGGGATATTTGAAATGTGATTGAATCGGTTAAACCTGACATAAAATATACATCATAAGAAGAAACAGTTGAATACAAACAATTTTTGTTTGTATTTAATGACAATAAAGATATTCTTATTCTTAAAACGAAATCATTAAGAAATCTTCAGAGACTCTTACGTTGTTTTAAGAAGACAAAAATTGTTACCGAATTTCCTTTATAGAGAATGAGCTATTACCGTAGGTTTCATGGTAAAAACTAGACCCGGGACAGATTTACTTTTTCGTTTCGAGGTCCCCAGAGGCCAAAAACACCCTCCGTTCAAATTCATATACACATATATTATAGATAAGTCGAGCTAAAATGATCCGATTATGATTAGGTTTGGAACAAACGGGTTATCCTACGTTTATTCGAACGAGTTCGCGACCAGCATGATCAAACTTTGGGAACGGGGGTGTATGGGGTAAAATTGGTCTTTCCCATTTTGACCCTTAAAACACAAGCATTTCACAATTTCTTTCTAAACCATTTTGTAGAGCTTAAAAAATAAATAATTAATTATTTGGCAGCATTGTTTTATGTCTAACGTTTACTGAGATAATAAAAAAAATGTTAATTTTAAGATTCTCATGTTATTCTTGTTAAGAATAAATAAACTGTTTTAGTTTAGTTTGCGGATATATTTGTGGATATATTTTAATCAAATTTCAACAAAAAAAACTCAATACCTTACCTGTAGCAGGAAACCTAAGCACTGATCAAAATTAATGTTATTTAAATAGGAAATAAATCTGAAAATTTAAATGGAATATTTTAGTTGAAATCCAGCCATGTAAATGAAATCTGCTTAGTCTGCAGATTTGCTGCGGTGGGGATATTTTACCTTGTTTTAAACTATCAAAAATATTAATAGACCTTATTAAAATACCAAAGTCTTTAAGTCCTGTGGAATAGTTGTTATTATTGTCTCTAAACTAGATATTAATCTAACCAATAATTTTGTACGTGATTAAGTAAAGTATGCGTATTGAGATGAATATGAATACAGTTTATGAAGAACATTTTTTATCACAAAGTCGTATTGTTTTTATGTAGCTCGTCAGAAATCATAGAGTGGAAAAATAATAATAATTTCTATAAACACGTTGAAAACTATGATACTAATTTTCCACTGAAAATACTTTTATTTACTGTAATGAATGATAAGACCACGTCTTTTTATGTTCATTAAACATAATGAAAATTTAAATTGAAAATCTGTAGATTGTCATAGAAACAACCCATCAGCGAGTACGAAAATTTGAACTCAACACTGAAAAGAAGGAAATGGAAGTCACACCAGTCCACACTAATGGGAAATGCATCACTACCGAGCTACAGATCTTTTTCATAAGACGATTAAATGTACGAAATATTCTATACAACAAGAGGATAGTTTCTTACTTAGATATTATGATTTTAGTAAAAAAGACATTTTGTTCCTTCCCTGTAGCAGCAAACCTAAGTACTCTTTACGCAAAACTTTTCAAAAATAGGGAATAAATTTAGCATGTTTACGGATATATTTCAGTGAAAATCTAGTTAGGCGGATGGATATTGGATTTTCCCTTTATCTTCAGGTTCACGTATACAAACGCCACAACTAAATTTCTTTAGTATACTCTTGTCTGGTTAATTCATTTTAATACTGTACCGACTCACCTCTCACTTTGGATACACTACACGCACAGTCTCGAAATTTATGTGGGGAAACACAAGGACAAAAGAAGTCACCAACCTATTTATTATATGATACTACAGTCTGTAAGGTGGAACCTCTCTACTAACCAGAAGTCTATCTGAGGAATGGCCAATAGTTTACGGCCCGGGCCAGTTCCAGGTAGTCATAGGGTCAAGAGATAGGTTCCATCATATAGACTATAGTATTGCTGCAATGTAGACATATCTTGTAGGTTTTGTAATACTTTAGCGACTATTTAAGAATGTAAGATGTACTCACTCCCTCCAAGCCTCATGCGTGGTGTTCCTGTCTGGTGATAGAACACACTTGTTGCGAAGCTCGCCCATGTACACCTGAAGAGCGAACAGCGCGAACACCATCAGGCAAAAGATGGTCAAGGTCATGACCTCAGCGAGCTGTCGGAACGAGTGGAGCAGCGCGTTGATGATAGTCTTCAGACCTGCAACAGGCGAGGAGAAAAAGTTAGAGGAAATGTTCCCTGAGCTTAAGACTCCTAGGAGTGGGTCAAAGGAAGGAACAAGATGTTTGATGATGGTCTTCACACCTCAAAGAAGAAATTATCAGGTGCAGATGACAGTGGACTGAAGTGGAAGATTGTAACATTGATGAAAGTCTTCGGACCTAACTGTCAGAGGAAATGTTCCCGTATAGTATAACTCATAGGAGTGGACCTAAACAAGGGATGAAAGGATTGATTGTCTTTAAAACCCTCAAAAGATTATGGGGAACCAGGAATAAGAGGAAGTGTTATTATAGGGTGGAAAGTGAACTGAAGTCTTGATATATTAAACATATGAGTGGAAACTGTCAGAGGAAATGTTTCTAATATTCTTAGGAGTGGACCGAAGGAAGGGATGATGTTTGATGATGGTCTTTAGACCTTAAAGGATGATGAGGAACTATCATGACAATGGTTATCAATTGGACTTAAGAGTGGGCTGAAGAAGAAGATTAAAACATATATTAGAGTTTTCAGATACTGCAATAGATGAGGAGAAGCTGTTACAGGAAAAGTTCCCACAGAGTATAAAATTCGTAGTAGTGGACCAAAGGAAGGGACAAGATGGTTTTAATGGTCTTCAGACCTCCAACAAATTCGAAGAAATTATCAGTTTGAGATAATATTCCTAATGAGCACACAATAGGTGTGAACCAAAGGGAGGAATGAAATGGTTGTTGATGGTTTCCAGACCTCCAAAAAGAGAAACCACCAGAGTACCGGCCAATGCTATGTAAGGGTATAACGTCCTAATCCAATGTCCTAACTATTCTTATAACAAACCAGGCCCTCTACCATTGGATGTATAATTGATTCCTTACAGTAAATCTAGGTTCACTGTAATTTAAAAGATAGCTTATTCCAAAGATTTCTGTAACAACACATTTTATATGGAGAGTTATGTGCTGTATGTGAATATACAAACACGAAAAAAATAATGGTTGCACGAATTACTTTTAATTTTGTTTTATCTGACGAAAAATATATTCTACAAGAGCTGTACCATAAAAATGCAAATTACAGAAGTATATGAATGGAATACTTTATTTTGACAATATTGATGAATATCTATGTATATAAATAATGACCTCGTTGACAATGAGTTTTGACAACAATAAGACGTCACTAACGAGAATAAGGGGAAGCGGAAGTGGGGGGGGGGCCGGATGTGGCTGCGGTTCCGGATCCGCTTTGCCTGCGGTCACTCGGCTTAGCGACGCTGAGGATTATGGGTAGATAAGAGGCGTAGAGAGAGACAGTGCTGTATCAGAGGAGGTGGTTATGGATGGATTCTTCATCCTGATTATAAGCATAGATAAGCTAGTATTATTATATTAGTTTATTTATGCTACTACAGTCTAACTTAACTTAACTTCTTCAATAGTTTGTAGTGTAATGACTTTTTGAAACTGGTGGGAATTCCCCATTTCATATACAAGATATAAGAAAGAATAGAGTAGAATAAACTACAAACAAACTCTGCAACATGTCTACAATAGTAAACGTCATTAGTAGTACCAAAAGAGGATTTTTTTGGTGCGCGCTCAAGTTTCACACCAAATTTTGGAACAATTGCCGGGAAATCACTTTTGGTACCTACAAGTTATTAGCGATACTTTCATCGCGACCCAAAAATTCTCATATACAGAATAAGGGACGCCAATAAAATTAAAAACATTATATTTCCTAATTAACATAATTTTAAAATAAAAATGAAAGCAAAAAGGTTGTGGCAAACCTACATAACGACTTTAATATTGTACAAGCTTAATGTTATGCTCATTGGGCAATTAATATGATTGGCAGGAAGGGAAAGTAAATTTAGAGCAAGGGGAAATCATCTAATTTTTGCTCTTGATCTAAATTTGGGAAACAATTTCTATCAAATCAGCTGTATTCGAAAATATCTAATTTCTGTATAGAGTGATAAAAAACAAACCTAGGATTAGATTTCAAGCTATTGGGGGTAAACAAATAAAAACTTATTTGGTTGTGATACATCCAAACAACAGCAAATTATCCATTACTGCATGTAGGACGTTAGGAATCAGTGCGATTTTCAAACCCACGATTACCAACTTAATCACACAACCGCACATATACTAGTTTATATACCATGTATACTGCAAGGGTTAACAGACCGTGACCAATGTAAACCTCACCACAACAGTATAATTCATCAACACAACGCAGCCTCAGTAATATGCTAGAGTCGCTTGTATATCCCATGCATCATCAGAGTTTGTAGAACCGAAACAATACATCACTTTGGTACCTAATGGATTCATTCATTCGAAAACTAGAACAGTGAATAGTATCTATATTCTATTCCAATGTTAAGATTGTAGTCTAAAATCATAGACAAAAAGAATTCTTTTTGTCTATGCTAAAATTAACGGTATCAACAAACTGACTTACTTTCAAGCTATATATTAGGGACAAAGATTTATAACTTTAGTTTTTACTTATTATTTTGTTCATAGTTTTAAAAGTTTTATAAAAATGCATTGTTCGGTTTATATTTAGTACATAAGAGGTTAATTGTAAGAAAGGATCATGTGGTCCTAATGATCGCCTCAATAAAAAAGTATTGACTAATCTGATGGTACAATTTACATCGCCATGTAATCCAAATTGTTGTTGTCATCCAAACTTTTACAACAATTTGACGAAAATAATTGGACTATCATATTAGTCATAGAGAATTATGTTGCAGATATGAATTAAAATCATACAGATAAGCAGGTACAGTACTTAGGCAACACCATTAGTATTGTAACACCAAATGATCATCTAAAAAGATTGAGATAAGCACGCATAACCGACTTCAGTCTCTAATTCTATTTTGTTTTTGAAACCCACCATTTTATATATAAGATTTAATATATTCGAATATATTTTGACTTAACAACTATAATGTTTTGTCACACTGTATACCTGTTATCGTATATTTAGTCTATACAGTCTTATAATAAGTCACTAATGGACTGATTTTCAAGATGTGACACAACTAATCTCGAGATTTGTCCAGGTTTTCACGTCAAACTTTGTCCTTCGCCGAAACTCTTCGAACACCTTCGACTCATCCTTATTTTTTACACATTTCACATTGAGAAATACAGTTAAAATGCATTAAAACGCGTTGCTACTGATATATAAACCAACTAGATTACCAACATAAAAAATAAAAAAAACTAAACAACTATTAGTTATAAGTATTATTTTATAATATTAAAAATTACTAGCTTTGGGCCCTACCAACGCATGGGAATCAAGTATTCGGTTTAAACAGTTTTTCATCACGAAATCGCGTTATGAATTCTTTATTTGTCCACGTATTGGATTTTCTTCCAGATCCTGGTCTTCTTAAATGTCGACCTTTTGGTGAATTTCGACAAAATCTCATAAGCAGCATGTAACACACCTTCAAATTAATTTTCCTAAAAAAAATCCTAACAACTAACTCTAGTCACACATGTTAAAGAATGCTATACTGTCAACTAAAAAAGCCACACGCTAGTGCTTCAGCATAAATCCACTTTCCCCATGTTATTCGTAGTGAAACCAACGTTATGCTGTAACGTGTATCGTAAGATGTTTTCATGTGGTGTGGATTTCCCAGGTGGTTTTGTTCAAAGTATTCATCCATTTTGAAAGACGCGGCTCAAATAATCATGCTCTTAGACACCAACGCAACCTCCCCTGCTTTCTACCCCTCCCATACCACCCCTTACACACTTACTTGTAACCATACCTCCTAGTGACGGAATCAATGATGCTATATGAGACGTTAGAATGAAAATAATGACAACGTTGTAAGAAGTTTATTTTGGTGAAGTTAGGTTTATGGAAATTGAGGGTTGCGGAAATTTTGCATTAAAATAATTATAAAAATAAGTGTTCAAGACATTTCAAGATCTGGAATCTGATTCCATCCTCAGGTAGGAATTACCTTAAACATAACAAAATAAGTAATCAAATTCAGCTAAAGCTGAAAAATCACATAGGAAACCTACACATAAAACTGTATAGTTGGTATTGATTCTATGATAGTGGTCAGAAAATGCACAAAATAAAATAAAATCTGAAACAATATAATAGGTTAGAACAAAATTGGGTGGGCTAACCTTGATGAAAATATCCACAATAATTCCTCTAAAATCAAAATGATGCAAATAAACTGTGGAAAAAGTTAGAAGCTTTTCTATGTTGGATCGATCTGCCCTAATCTAATATTATTAAATGGTTCTGGCAAAGGACCAAGCTGATCATAGTCAGTAATAAACCTACCACATCATACAATCAACAATTAAGGCCACCTAAAACGTGGCCTAGCATTCCCTAGTCATAATACCTGTAAATCGATAATGTTTAAATTCAATATCTCTGAAAAATGAATAAAACATTTCATTACACAAATAATCCTTTCAGCTCACCATCCAACTCAAACCCAGACGTTAACATCCTAAATTGGGATTAACATTTGCATTTAATTCGTCAAAATACAATTTGGTGCACTAGGAGTCCGAAATGTTCATGAACATTGGTTTTACACAATATTTATTTATATTTGCTATTTTTGACACCGAAATTCATTGTTTTATGCATGCATTTTGATACTTTATTTAATTGTGAGTATTAATATTAATTTTTGTAAACATACACTTACGAGCGTTTTAAATGTTTCTTTTTAAATGTTTCTTAACATAAATGGGGATAAATTAATTGACGAGTTTTAATTTGGGAAAGTGAGATTGTAAATATATTTTAGCATGGTTTTACCTTAAACTAGCCTGACACCCAAACTATAAACAAATTCGGTCAAAATTACATCTTCACGTACTTAAACGTTTACTAAAATTAAAAACTGAGAAAAAGGACTAAATTCATAAACATTCGGAGAAATATCGCATACCAAACCTTTTGGCGTCTCACGAAAA